AAGGAAGGGGATGGATGGCTCCAGAGGAAGGGAGGGGGATGGATGGCTCCAGAGGAAGGAAGGGGGATGGATGGCTCCAGAGAAAGGAAGGGGGAAGGATGGCTCCAGAGAAAGGAAGGGGGATGGATGGCTCCAGAGGAAGGGAGGGGGATGGCTCCAGAGGAAGGGAGGGGGATGGATGGCTCCAGAGAAAGGAGGAAAGCCTGGAGGGCTAGAGAAAGCATGCCTTGCTAGAGACCAGTATCTGAATGAATGATGCAAAAGAAGAAAAAGTAACACTTTTTGGAGTAAGGACTAAGAAAATTGGATGGGATTAACAGAGCTACATGGCCATTTTCTAAGGCGTTGTAAGCGAGTTTTGGTGTCTTCTTAATCTAAACTACCCAGTCAATTTCTATCTTTTATCCTTCATCACTGGGACTATTCTAGCTTCACTAAACTCTCTCTTGCATGAGTGTGTGTGTGTGTGTGTGTGTGTGTGTGTGTATGTGTGTGTGTGTGCACATACACGTGCACATATGTGTTGGGGATGAGAGTAAATTTCAATGCTTTCTAAGAAAAAAAAATTGTAGGCTACTTAGGATTTGTTACAGGAACCTTGAAAATGCTATGTTAAATGAGTCAATCATACTATTCTGTTTATGCAAAATTCACATTTACAAATCTGTTGAAGCAGAAGGGAAAAGTTGATGAGGAATGCTAATCAAAATGTCTTCTAATTGATTGCTGTGTCCTCTTTCTATTTGCTGAGAGAGGGTCACATATCCCGGACTGACCTCAAACACTATGTAACACAAGGATGATCCTGAACTCCTGATCCTCATGACTTTACCTCCCAAGTGATGGGATTTACAGTCATTTGACACTATCGATTCTCATTTTCAGTATTTCTGGATAAAACCACTAGGTAGTGTATGTCTCAGTTAGTGTATCTACTGGTGTGATAAAACCCAGTGGTTAGAAGCAACTTGGGGAGCAAAGACTTTAATACAGCTCTCAGGTCACACTCTACTACTGAGGGAAGTCACAGCAGGAACCTGGAGTCAGGAATTGAAGTAGAAGCCATAGAGGAACACTGCTTACTGGCCTGCTTATGGCCTGCTCAGCCCACTTTCTTGTACAGCTCAGGACCACCTGCTGAAGGGCCACACTACCCACCGTGGGCAAGGCACTTCTACATCAACCATTAACCAAGAAAATGCCCTACAGACTTGCCTACAGGCCAATCTGGTGAAGGCATTTTCTCAATTAAGAGTCCTTTTTCTTCCTAGGTATGTCTAAGTTGACAAATAACAGCAGCAAACAAATGACAACAACCAAAACCCCCAACAAGGACAATATACTTGTATGAGTGAATTGTGTGATAGATGGCATGCTTCTATAAGGTTGTGAGGATAATTCATCAGTACCTATTTGTCAGCCATTCTAGTAGACATAACCCTGTCACATCTGCTTGTTCAGGTTAAGTTTATATGAGATTGGGAGGAGGCAAACTGTAAACTCTCGTGACATAAGTAAAGTACCCTGCAAGTGCTGTTAGAAGGCAAAATGCATTAGTAGACTTAAAAAGTGAACATCTTTGGGACAGCTGGCCAGAGAGGTTCGTGCAGGAGGAAATGGTGAATTAAAAACCCGAATGTTAGGAGGGAGCTATCCACAAGGCTGCCTGCAGTGAGGTGGGTCCATGCAGAGGAGATTGCACATGGAATAACCCAAGGAAGCAGCCAGCTGGTGTAAGTGGACCAAACCTGACGCATCAGCTGTGGTGGGGTTGTGATGGCTGCTAATGCTGTTTTGTTCTGAGGTCACCAGTAGCTGATATGTCTGATACGTTAAGACAAGTGTCTTTGGCTTTTAACGATTTCTTCCCCACTTGACTTGAAATAGCTGTGCCGTTTGTCCTTCTTACTCAGACTTGTAAGAAAGCCAAACTGAGCATCGATCCCTAGATGTGTGCCACACCTTCCTGTGTCTGTACCTGTCTTTGTACTCAGAATGCCCACCTCTCTGTTGCCCTGAAAATTCCATGTCATCTCAAAGTCACCTCTTTATCTACTCTGGAAATATAGCTAAAAATAATATATAGACAAAATTACTGTGACCTTTTCAACTCATCCATCCCTATTGCGCTTCTCTTTGGGGATTTAGTACAGTTGAGTTTTAATTCCTTGGTTTCCCTCTCATGGGGGACCCAATTATGACTCCACTTTACAGCATGCTGCATGGTGTCTCACTCCATAAAACAGTCATTATATTGGTTGAATCCTAAAACATTTACAGACACAGTGTGCAAAACAAATCTGAACACTGGAGAAAATTTATAAAAATGTCTATAGCCCAGCCCATGAGGAATGCTGATCAGAGCATAATATGTTTGATAAAGAGGTGGAGTAAAAAAATCAGTGAAATGGGACTTTAAAACTCAGGCTTTCTGGGAAATAGCCCAATATTTATCTCTTACTGTTTCTGACCTTGGCGTTGTCCTCGGGGTCTTTTTTTTTTTTCTTCTAATTTTTGATTCTTGGGAACATTATTTGTGTGACAAAATAAGTATGACAGTATCCAAGTCATGAGAGCCAAGTCCCAGTTCACCCTGGGAACAGGCTTGCTTCTCCATGAATCTCAGTGAGTCCTAAGAGCCTGCTAGCTGTGATAATTGTCCTGAAAATGGCAGTGTCTGTTGGGACAGTGCAAACCAGCATAGAGCCTTCCCAAGAAAGAACAGACTGGTAGTAAGAACACAGTTTCGGGTCATAGGCAGACCACTATTTGTGCAGAAACAGTGCAATGGCAAACAGAAGCAGATCCAGCATATTCTAAGGTCCCTGAAGCTCACTGAAAGATGAGCAGTGAGATCTTGTGATGGCCATAGATACAGGGCAGGGCCAACTAGGACTGGTCATTTTGAAGGGCCCAAACTCTGAGGTTAAATCTGCACAAGAGGGAGGTTTAGATTGCAGCCTCCAGAACAAACAGACATAAATTAGCCCTGTAGCTTAGACCATAAGGAGTGGCTTCTGAAATAGCCTGGGGGATAGGAAACATACTTAGGACAAATAGCCCAAACATTTATTGGGAGTTAACTCCCTTTAATTACAGAAAGAGCATTCTCTTGGTTGAGTGACATGGCCAGATGCCAATCTCTCAACTGAGATGGGGCTGCCCATTTGACCTACCCAGGGATGTCAGATCCAAGGCCTCAAACGACTAGGCCTTCAGGCTCAGGCAGACAGAAGGAGAGATGAGTGACTTTCTGGGTTCCATGAAAGAGAGATGGGAATGAGTTTTCCCATGGGATGTGTGATTGAAGAGTAGAGCGATTTCCTCCTCTGATGTGATGGCTCTCAGTGCCAAGACTCTCACTTGGTTCAGACTTTTATAAGCCTTACCCTGACCAACTGTCTCTTCCTCTCCGAGTCAGAGTTGATGCCTTCCTCCTCTCCTGTCCATTTGATGTTCAAAATGTCATTCACTCTGTTTTTTCCCTTCTTTGCACATGGACTGCCATGTCCATTTTCAATGTCTGAACCCCGTGAGGCTCAGATACTGCCTGTTTGCAAGGGCCACTTCCAGGATAAAATTATCTGTGGCTGAAACTTCCTCTGTTTAAACTGTTATCAAACCTTGCTGGCTTTTAATTGGCATTTGACATTTTTATCATGCATGCAGGCTATCTTTCTTGTTTTCTTTCTTTCTGTCATTTTTCCTTCCGTGT